TTTTTTTTTTTTTTTTTTTTTTTTACGGGCGCGGGGGACACCTCGTCACTACGCAGTATAAACGATACCGTAAACACAATAATCACACTCCACTGCACCACCGAATCGACGCAAACCGACGATTATAATACGATAACCGAATATGTATTATATACTGTGCATATTTATCTCATAACAATACGAAATCGAACGCGTCCCTCCGGCAGCGTTGATCGGCGAGTGGCAATATACCCGTGAGATGGTCTCGCGGCGTTCACTCGTGAAACAGATATGGCAATCCGACGCTTTTCGCCCCCGGTCAAACCGGTTTTTTTATTTTCATAACGACGGTGTTAAGTGTATTTTACGCATCGTGTCGACGAGAGCTTCTCGACAACGCCGCTGTACGCGGTAGTACAAAATGCTTTTGGGGTTTCGTTATAAGTGTGTGTTTGACGCTGCAACAGTGTCCCGCCCTTGTAATACGCGCGCCCCGTACAGCGGTATGGGCCGAACGGCAACCGGAATAATATTCTATTATCGTTGTGCGAATTGTGACGCGGAACGGATTCGCGAACGGGCAAAGCGAACGTTTTAAACGGTCGATAGCGGAGTCGTGACTCCGTATATGGTATGCGTTCGACAAAATGGCGTTGCAAACGTTCGCAGATTTTGAAAACGCCGACCCCGTGACGTTTGCTCCGTTTAGTTCAGTAACCGGCCGGTTGTAATCTCGAATGAAACTGAGGTCGACGTCAGATATATTACGTGGTTTTTTTTTTTTTTTTTTCTATCGTGCGCGTTTTATTACCACGTATTACAATAATTATTAATAATCAAACGATCAATTAAGTTATAATTATTTTGTTATTTCACGGAGCGGTTAATAATAATTGGTTTACCGCGGTCACGTCCGCTGTCGAATTTCAACCGTACAAACGTGTCAAACGTCAACTATACCGAGCGTCAGAAGCGTCGCCGCTCGCGAATTGGCTCACGTGTAGTGCAGGGTTCGTGTGGCAAACGCGTTCACCTGAAGACGCACAGTTTTGCGTTTTATACAAAATATACGCGACGACGGTATACGCGCGTGGTTCTCTGTAGAATGTGTCTGAACTTCGCAGAGTGTTTTATTGATCACGGAAAAACGTATATGAAATTTACTATCCCTTTTCCCCCTACGCGTCCGGTTTGAATTTCGGACTGTTATACATTTTATAAGCGATGATAAACGATAAATCCGATATTCTAGTGTCACGCACGTGGAATGTTCTCGATGCGAATCTATATGTTTTATAACACGGGAGTTTCTATTTGAAAATCAGTAGAGGACGTATATTATACGAACTAGTTTAAGGTAAGTGTTGCCCGGAATTAGGGGGTAAAACATCGAAAACAGCGTTAAAATAAAGTTTAACCGATGCCGTAATTATTCTATTTCGTATTTATTTTTTCTCACGGAAACCGTTCTTTTTAATATTACGATATTTAATTTGAATCCGCCTTAAAACACTCGCAATACCGTTGTTTCGCCGACGTTTAGTTTGTCATTTTTATTTTCTTGATATCGATTAACACACTAAGAGTATGCCGTTATAACAACGTATTATATTGCTGTGATGTAAATATGCGTACTGGCCGTCGACCCGTGTTTTCTTAAAATGAATAAATATTAACGTTTGGAAAAAAACCGACTTCGAATTCGCATAAAGTCCTCCGTGAAAATCGCCGGTTCGCGGTGAATAGATCGCCCCTGTATAATTCGAGTGTATATATTAGAAGACGCGTATTTGATGTACATTTTCGCGGTTCGCGTCGCGCGAGATAATTTATTATACCCCGCAATCTAAAAATAAAACGCCGCTAAAAAAAAAATATCGGCCTCGTTAACGCGTTCACGAACGACCGCGGCAGCGTTACGACTGTAAAATGGCGCACGGGATTCGTTGCGATAACATCGGTTTGATTGTAAAAAAAAAAAAAAAAAAAAACAGAAACAAAATTATATAAGAATAAAACATTTTTTTTCGAAACATAATTTTATTATTATTTTTTTTCAAGTAGAGACGTATACTTATAATATCCGATCTATATGACTATAATATTATTATCATTGCGCGATAATACTATTACGCGCGGTTTTGATTTCAAATGGTAATATATAGTTTTTTATTCGCTTGTTCCGTGCAATAACATTATATAGATAGTTTTTTATTTGCTTTGAAAAGACGTTTTATGGTTCTAAAAAAAACACCTTTTTTTTTTAGAAAAAAAAAAAATAATAACTGCGAGAATTCATCGATAAACGCGCGTAATGTTTTCGGATGAAAAAAATCCCCGAGTTGGTCTTATGTATACACCCGTACATGTTATAAAATCGAATATTACGCGTGTGTATGTAGGAAACTCGCGCGATAAAAATATACGACATTTATTATTCACAATAAGAAGTATCCGCCGCGACTTCACGGACCGCCACCGGCAGTATTGCGCGCGATCTGTCACGCGATATTTTCGTGTTTTCTTTGAGTAGGGGGAATATAAAAAAAAAAAAAAGAATAAAAAGAATTATAATAAAAATACACCGCGAACCGACGAAAACGCAGCCGGTGACTCGTATAATAATATAATAAAATACGAGTGTATAATATATTATTATTTTTTCTCTCGAAATGTCTCGCGCATTGTTGAGGACGGCAGTCGTGCCACCCAGGAATGTATCGCGGACTTTTGGCGTGTCCGGAGAGCGAGAGAGAGAACCGACCGGGGCCGGAGAGAGACCGCGCGTGACCCGGCGGGTGGGATCCGGGGAACCGGGTGAACAGCGTCGTCGTCGCGGCACAATGCGAAGAAACAGATAAATCAACTGGCGCGATTTCGTTTGTTGCCAATATTTTTAACGACTACCGGGGCCGGCCGGCGGTCAGAAGTAGCGGCCGGCGGAATATTAAAATAAAATTTAAAAAAAAAAAAACGCGCGTAAAAAATCCGTATTTTCCCTTCCCTCCCGTAGCCGCCGCCGCCGCCGCCGCCGCCGCCGTATACCGTCGTGTACACTCGCGCGCATAACACGACGTCCCGCCCGCGAAACCGGTTAAATCGCTACAATATTATGCGCCGTCACACGCGATAAACCGGATAGACCGTGGTCTACATATTATCAGTATCATCATCATCATCATCATCATCATCATCATCGTTATTATTATTATTATTATTGTTATTATCCTGTACGGTACGTGGACGTGGACCACGCGGTCGTTATACCGCCGACGAAAACAACGGCGCGCGTACACGGGCGTAACCCCTTTGGTGACGGTTCTCCCGCCCTCGTCGACGTGTAATGCGGTATAAAACAATTTCGCGAAAATGTTTAATACGGGCATACCTGTACTTGTATAATTTCTCCCGCCGCGGGTAAAATATATTAAAACCCACGGAAAATCGGTCCTCGAGACGCGCGGCGCGCGACGTCTGTGCGTGTACATATACACGTGTACAGTAAACGTTAATCGCGATCCGCGAATAAATCGTAAAACCGCGCTCTGCTATGTAACAAACAATCCGACAACGATGATGTGTAAAATGCCGGATCCAAAAGAGGCCGATTTTCATCACATAAATCGATCCGTTTTTGCTGGTGACTCGGAAGAAATACGCGCCAACGCGGCGCGTACAACAACCATTTTAACCCTCAACCGCCGTTTTCCGGATGATTATTAATTATAGCTGCATACAATATCGTTTACGTGTCTTGCGGTATCTAGTCTGTAAATTCGCGTTTGAAAACTCTGTTTCAGTTCGTCCCTTCTCCGGAAATTACCTTACGGGCGTCTATGTCCGTTACGCACTGCAAACGTGCCTTTACAAAAACGTATCAAACACTGCAACGGTACAGTACTACAGTAAGAGTGCTCGATTATTTTGCTCCGTTACCGTCTCGGAAACAAACTCCATTAGGCCAATTCGATTTACGAACGCACCTCGTGTTCATCTTAAGCCGCCATCTAGTGCAGTCTTTACATAACGGTTTCCCCAAAGTTAAAAGCGATTCATTAAAAAAGGAACAGTCCGTACCTGTAATGTTATCCAAAACGTTCGAAACAGTTCTCTACTATGAACCGATGGTGATCGAGAGATCTTTTGCAGCAGTGAAAAACTCGATGGGTGGGTAGAGGCAACAGTTAGGTTAGCCTTAAGTTGGATTAGTAACGAGGTCACCAGAGTGTTGAGTTCACGTTTCTAAAATTATATTATTACCGAAAATTTCGGTACTTAGCCGTGACGTAGCCGGTTTTCTCAGCGATAGTGGACCTTAGGATGGGGAGGGGAAACAAATTTTAAAATTACACGTTTATCTGTAAACGTGAATTTCCTTAATTATACATTTCAAAATATACACCATAAAAACATACTTAGACAAACGATTATTATCAAAATAATAGAAAATATTGTTAATGGCACGACATGGCGATTTTCTTAACTTCGTATTTTTCCTTCTGCGCCACGTGCTCGATTCGCAATCAAAAAACCGGGCCATACATCTTTCTGCGTTTTAGTAAAACTAATATATAGTTTCGTTCGGTATCCGCGAAACGAATATCACGAAGACGCATACGGCGTTGCTGCACGCTGCGCCGGCCAAATTATTACACCCACGTCCAGCCGTCCAGGCGACCGCAGCGACAGTAGCAGTAATCGTATGATACGTAATGGTCACGGTGCGGCTTATAGCATAACACGAACCACCTGCACGTATTATTATTATTATTATTACTATTATTACTATTATTATTATTATTATCATTATTATTGTAACTATTGTCACCGCAATCGTACGCGTAAAATAAAAATCATAATGCGCGAGTGTGTCCTCGTAATATCCGATTGTCTGACGACGATTCCGCCGCGATCGACCAAACGCCGGCCATTCTTAACGCCACCGCCGCGCCGCCTCGTAGTCTCCCGACACAGAGAAAAGGACCGATTTCTATTACGTACAGTTTTAATCTGTCGGCGAGGTTGAACGTACGGCTGAATATTTGTACTTTTAACGCAACGCAAAATATGATCCCTAAAATAATATTATTATTATAATGATCGTAATATTATGTGTGACGTGATTCCAGAGCAATTCCGGAGCATTTACCATATAACTATAATCATTTATTTATATCCAATACTTCGATAATATTACGAATTACGACTATAGTTTTCGAATATCATTTAATTTTAATTATTCAGGTAGCAATGTTGTTGTATAAAAAGTTGGACGTACTTCGCACCGTGGGTAGGTACCACTGGGGTTGTAGGTGGGACGTTTGGAATGTCGTGGGGTATATAGAGTAATTCAGTTTACATGCTGAACGTAAACGAAAAATACTGCCGAGTGTAGTAGTATTAGTCAATTTACGGGTCGTGTCGTGCTCTCCTGTTGTCAATGTAACTCAGAAACCAACAAAAATAAATGGGTGTTGACCAGTTGCCCCCAACGGCTGTTATTGGGATTTTAAAAATGTACAAGTTGCCCTTAAATGTTAATGTATACACTATTACAGTATATAGCCTGTAAAATATAGCCTGTAAATATTGCACATTAAAAATGCACTTAATCAAAAAATAGTGTAAAATAATAGAAAACAATTCATATGCTTGCAATTATGTATAACATTGTATTGAAAAATAGTATGGAAAAAAATTAATTATGGATTATGTTTTGTATTAATAATTATGCATTACTAAATAACGCATGGAAATATCGGAGCATTTGTACTGATCGTAGTAGAATAGTTGTAGTTTAGATAAACTATAGAATATTTTGAAAAACTATTCGACTATAGTATTTCTCTATGACAGAATGTAAAATTAGTTGAATTATTCGAATAGTTTGATAGTAACTATTCTAGTTAATACAATCACATTATATTATATGGACGGGTTTTGTTCGTGACCGTCAATTCACATAAGAAACGGGTGGCCCAATTTACCTGTATTTTTTTTTAAATAATGTTTTCAATAACCTACCGTATCATCGTAATGTAATATCTGTAGTACAATATGCATGATATACATAATATATTTGTATAAGACTGTAGCCGGGTCCGGGGTCTCGCCGCGATGACCTTTTACCGATAACAGCGGAAGACTCGAGATATTATAATAGCAATATAATATTAGTATTGATTTTGTCCAATAGTCTTGTCGAAATGAAAAAAAAAAAAAATTATGTCTTATCGATTCGGCCATGATTGAAAAAATAAAACCCGTTCGAGCACGTACTGTATGTACATTGTAAATATTATAACACACTAATAAAATATAATATTTTTTTAAAACTAAAATTAATATTAATACGTTATAATATTCATTATTTTAAACCATTATAATATTTGCACCCGTTCGTTCGGACGTGTAAAATATGGGCGTATACCTATCAGTTACCCCCCTTCAAAAGTACCTTTTTTTTTTTTTTTTTTATGAACTTCCCCGAAACGAAATNCCCCCCTTCAAAAGTACCTTTTTTTTTTTTTTTTATATGAACTTCCCCGAAACGAAATTACATTTAAATAATGAAAATATTGTAAGGATAAAAATGATACGCGTATGGCGATAAAGTCTAATTTGTTGTTGTTAGGTACATATCGGCTATTGAGAATTATTACTTATCATTATTTATGGTAAACACAGTTTTCCATGTTGTCTAAAAGTACCCATTTTGGTGATATTCCCCTCTTTGCAGCACTGAATACACTATACGCGCTGCTCTATATGGTGAGGGCAACTGGTATGTTTGGTTGAAGACAACTGGTGTGTATTTTTTAAATACCGAAAACAGCCTTTGAGGACGTTTGGTTTTTTTTTTTCGGCATTTATTATCGTGCGGGTAAAACGATTCTCGAAAATATAAAACGACGCGTTTTAAAAATTTGAAAAATTAGTTTTACTGGTCTACCGGATATTACGGTAATACGTTTTTAAATTTTTCTAAAAACTTTAATGTTAATACGCACATTTTGTTTTTTGTTGATTTCTGGGTTATCTTGCCAAATAAAACAAAAGTTACGATTAACAATACTTTGATTAGAATCGTTTTTCATTATCAATGATTTATCGTTGCGTATACATATTATGCATTAAATTACTCTATATATTTCTCTCATAAAACAGTGTCATAACCCGTTGTCTATCAGCCGTATTAGCCATTTTGCGTGTGTTAATAACATTCTATCAGAAATCTTCCGTCGAAAAAAAATAAAATAGAAACCCGATAGAAGAGTTTTTTCTGTAGCAAATTTTATCTGGTTGGTGTATTGAGGAAGTTTCTCATTTGGTTGTCTTTGTAGTTTTCTTAAACGTCGAAAAAACTCGGAAAACATGTTAATTTAGACGCAATAACGATGATATTTATTTGGCTTCTAAAAAACGCTTGAAAATTTGATACAATAGTGTTCATCATAATCATGTTAATCGTGTTGTACTTAGTGGTAAATAAAAAAGATGAGCGTAGGCAATGTAATGTTTCTTTTTTTGTGTTTAATGTTTACATTTGTATGAAAACCGTTTGACTGAATTTCGCTCAGAAAAGGTTTTCATTAACAATGATGTATCCCTACGCACAGGTATAAATCAAATTACCCTAAACATATACATATATATATATATATATAATACATTCCCACCTTCCCACCACCTACAATATGGGTGGCACACCCTTCAGTAATATCGACTCTAATTATTTTTTTCATCTGGTACACCTACATTTAAAATACGATTCAATAATACTGTATTTTTATAACCGTTTGCGAGTTATTCGTTATACCAATGTAAGTATTATCTTTTTAGGAAAAAAAAAAAAAATAACAACAACAATTTTAATCATGAAAATATATTTCTAATAAAATTTACTCGCACGTTATTATTTTAACGCTTCACAAAGTGAACTGCACTATGCGCCCGATCAACATGTTAATATTATATTATTTTTATTCGAACGTGTGTGTAGGTAGTCGAAGAAAAATGTAATTTTTTTTCTCATTATTTGTATTATTATATCTATCTGTGTATTCATTATGTATAGTTAAAATATTCATTTAATTCTAAAAACGAATTGATTAGGACGAAGAAAGAATACTTAACCGCGCGGTCGTCGTCGTCGTCGTAATAGGTCGCCGGCAGTATGGCAGGTACGGTGTCTCAGTTGTAAATTGTTATTAGTCTTTTTTTTTTTTTTTATCGTACGCCCGTACGTATACGCAATAAACAATTGTACAGTTGTAATATAAAATAGGTAAATACATCGTCGTACTGTCTTGTAGTACAATAATATTATACGGTGTAGGTAATAATCGATGCTATTATAGAGAAAACGTGGTGAAGTTCGTCAAACAGTTTTCGGACGTGACCGATGTTTTAATTATTATAAACGCAGTCGGCTGCAGTGTGGTATAATAATATTACAGGTATTATTATTATTACGGACGTGCCGAAAAGTTTTTTTTTACATTATATTTTTAATTTTATTCGCAATATCCGCAGTCCGAATAGATTATAATCATCGGGCGAAAAGTTTTAATAACGCCGAAAATGCCCGCTCAAGACGCGGCGTCACTCCAGTGAATTTTAAAAACTAATATAAAACAATGCGGGACTATACGTATTATATCTATCATCCTTCCCCCCTCCCCACGACTCTCCCACTCAGTGTATTGAACATTTCGGATTCTTTATCTGTATATTTAAATACGTAATGTCGTCTGAAATTATTTATACATAATCCACCCCCGTTCGACACCATCAGTACCTCAGCCATGTGGGGGAGGAGGCGCATGCACCCCTAAATAAACGTTTGTTTTTCTTGTAACTTTGATTATTTCGGTGTGTTTTATTATTCTGAAAAACAGTAGACAATAATACAAATTATGTGTGTCCCCCTTCCCTAGAAATGTTCTCCTGGCTATGACATACTGAATACTATCCTCCGTATAATTTTGTATTTTAAATTCAGTTTATCGTTCCGATTATAATCATACTATTATCAGTGCCGCGCCTATAGAAAAATCGGCATCCGGTTCACTCGTACGTTTATTGAAAAAATATTCGATTACAGCATATTAAAAACGTTTGTTGGCCCCTGTGGTTAATAATAACGTTCGGTGCGTGGGCACCTATCACACCC